CTCTGCATCATTCTTTGTGGTCTGTGTTGAGGACATAAAAGTACTTGGGCTGCATGACTGGCTGCAATGGACAGTGGCCAAAAGGCTCTTAATTTCAAGTTTGCAGAGTACACACATCAGATGGCGAAAATGTTTTGGGACAGGGCTTCTTGAAGAACTACAGTTACTGTATGGAGAGCAGTTTTCTTGTTCTTCAAAATACCTTCTTCCAATGTTGCTTTTTAAATGAAAATGGTAATCATTTTGACACTGAAACGCAAATTTATCCTCCTCTTCTGTGAAATAGACAAGTCAATGGAATGTGATGAATGTAGCAGCAGGAACATTGTAGAATAGAATCAAGTTCTGGATAGCAAAAAAATGCTGTCCTTTGGAAAAACTGCTTGTTATTGCTTGGCTCTGCAGGGGAGGGAAGCCCCAGGCAGAGAAGGCAGCTAGCTCCAGAGCCTGAAGTTTCTGTCTGGTGCTGCACCGCCCAGGCAGGAAAGGCAGCACGTGGGGCTTCCATCCCTGCTGTGTGACTGCAGGGGCTGCATGAGTGGTAGGGAGCACCAGCCATACAGGCAGCCATGCAGCAGCTGTGATGTGTAGTGGTGCCCTGCCTGCTGCTGCTGCTGTTACTGCTTGCCAGGGCTGTGTACCATGGAGGGTGTGTGGGGATTCCCACACCCTTCTTCTCCCTCATACCCACATGCTGCCCACCCCAGCTCTGCACTACTGCCACTCCCTCTCTCCCTCGGCACAGGTCCCACATTGCCACCAGCCCCAGCCCCATGGTCCAGGCTCCCTCCCTGGAGCCAGCAGGAGACCCGGGAAGTGAGCAGGTCTGGGGGGCTGCAGCAGGAGCAGCCCGGCATGGAAGCTGCATGCTGGCTGGCCAGGCACTTCCACCCCCAAGGGTGGGACCCAGGCAATAGGGTACGTTTTTGAGGCTGCGTGTACACGTGGGAGACTCACTCCCACCCCCGTGGGTGGGGCACAATTTGTTGGCGGGCTCTGTGGGTTGCATGAAAGTGCTTGGCAGGCCAGATGCGGCCCGCGGGCCATATTTTGCCCACCCCTGATCTAGGAGCAGCTATGCCTATGGTATGCTATGGGTATTTCCCATGCTTCTGGGCCTTGTGCATTGTCCCATGGGGCTGGGAAGAAATTGTTTTCCCCTTCCTGTAACTACACATTACGAAGATTTTTTTTCACCTTTTTCTCAGAAGCTTTGGGTCATGGCTGCAGCCAAGCCTAGGGATTTTTTACTAGAGTGTGACATTGCTTCTGCTAGGTTTAAAGCCCAGAGGTTCCTGGTTAGAGGGTCTTGCCTCTGCTCAGAGTCAGATCAATCACTACATTTGACATCAGAAAAGACTTTTACCTCATGGTCAGATTGGTATGGACTGCGGAGGTTTCTGCTTTCCTCTGGAGCATGAGTCTTCCTTGGATCTCTTGAGCATATTTTAGCAACCCTTGTAAGAGCAGGACATGAGCTCCCTGCTTAACATGTGGCAGATTGGGGTGCTGTGTACTGTGGCTGTGAAAGTCGCCTCTAATTTTAGTAATAGGTTAGACAACGATTTGCTTAGGATGGTTTAAGGAGGATCCTGTCTCAGGCAGAGGTTTGGACTAGGTGACCTCCAGACGTCCCTTCCAGACCTACTTTTTCTATCACTCTGTGATTGCAAGTTGCAGGTTTCCTTCTCCACATAGCAGCTGACTGACTTTCTACAGCTCTAGGTTGGTTTCTTTCTTCAGTGATGTGCATTGGAGAGAAGAGAGGCATTTTAAGCATTAGGAGTTGATTAGGATCTTCATGTAGTACATATAAAATGATGACTACAATAACATTCACAATATTATTTTTGTTTAACTTTAGTTATCGTTAATTAAGATGGATTTATTCTAAAGCTGTGTTAATGCTATGATTACTGTTAATATCCTCACCTCTTTATAAAAGCTTTTTCTTTTCTTTTTTTTTTTTTAAACTAGCGGTATTTCCTTGTTGGCAGCAATCCTGCAGAAACCAAATACCGTGTTTTGAAAATTGATCGCACTGAACCAAAGGATTTAGTTGTAATTGATGATAAGGTAAGAGCTTCTTTATTTAGGACAACTGGAAAACTTACATATGAAGAATGTTAAGTATGTCAAACTGCTTTGAATTTCATGCGTGTGATCGGTTCTTTATGTAATTTCTAGTCTCCAAACATTTCTCTTGCATCGGGCTAACTTCTTTGTTATATTTTCGTGTCATTCACTTGTTAGTCATGAACTCCTCCCACTTAAGCAATAGTTGTTTGTTATGTTTTATGTACAATTATGTCATTCCTAAATACAAAATAACTCCCTCAGCTTCTTCTTAATAAAATATTTTGGATATCTTTTGTTTGAAATCAGTATAGATCTGAAGGAAGGTGAATGTGGGCAATGAGTCCAATACTGTACAAAACAGAATAACAAATTGTACCTCTCTGAGACTTCATGGTTCCAAGCCTTAGTCATATTTAACTTGACTTAGCATGAGTACTTCCTCTGAAGTAAATGGGAAATACATGTGCATAATGTGCAAGCATATATCTTTTTCAGGAACAGGGCATGAGTCTTCAGTCCTGTAAAGGCATCAGCCTATTCCAAGAACCATTCTACTCAGTAGAAATCTGCATAGGTAAAAGGATCTTTTGGTGGTACTAGGGCCTAAGAAATAGAGACAGCAGTTAAAAGTACAGAAAGCACCAAGTTGCCATGTGGTGGATTAGGACAGGGTTTTTCCTATTCCCTTTAAAAAAAAATAAATGCACCACTTAGGTGGATAGAGAGTAATGTTGAAAACATTTGAGAGTGATAAGGAGAGGGAAATTAGTATGGGGAAAATGTGAACAACTAATTATTTTCTATAGATATGATGCAAAGGTTTGTAATTTGGAACAAGCTATATGTTGAATATGTTCTAAATTTGTAAATGATTTGTCTAAGACAAACACTGCTTATGTCCTTGGCTATTTCATAGGACTGTTCTTGGACTGAATCTAACAATGAAGATCAGTTCCCAAAATATGAAAGCCTTGATGCTTTCTTTAGTCGTAGCTCTACTCTAAAAAGTGCCATTAAACAAGTAAATTTTACCCTTGTGTGCTATTAAACAGTACTGACAATCAACAGGGTGTGCTAATTATGTATTTCTTTTTTAAGCATGTATATACGCAACAAGAAGTGAGGGAACTTCTTGGCCGCTTAGACCTGGGGAACAGAACAAAGATTGGACAGAAGGGCTCCTCTGGGTTATCTCGAGCGGTCTCTGCTTTTGGTATAGTAGGTAATAGTCTCTTTCCTTTACTACTTATGTTTAAGAAAGTAGAGGCAGGCATAACAGCAGCAATTGTCACATTGTACAGATATTATGTTAACAGATATTAACAAAGTATTTTTTGCCCTTTCTGCTGTGTTCTGTAGATGTTTTATATCACACTTGTACAGATATCAGCCAGCAGAATGTCAATTCTGGGCATCTTCTGCTGTCATTAGTATCTCCACTGGGAATGAATAGTACATAAGTCATGCAGGAATTTTCTGAGTCAGCAGAGCAGATAGAACGGGGTGAGCAAAATGCGGCCTGCCAGGCCACTCTGTCCGGCTCATGGGGCCCCTAAAAAACTTAGAAAATTAATATTTATCTGCCTCTGACTGCCTGTTATGCAGCCCTCGATGGCTTGCCAAAACTC